TCCTATACAAAGCAGGGACTGTCTGTGATGACTTCACAAACGAATCAGCAAATGCGGTATGCCGGAAGATGGGATACCATGCAGCTGATTCTTTGAGGAGCGGGCTGGAGAACGAAGCTCAACAAACCGATAAGGAAATAACTCTGGGCAGTGTTAGTTGCAGTTCTGGAGAGTGGGAGTCTTGCGAAGTTTCAACAGAGAATAACTGCAGTCACGATCAGGACGTGTACCTTCAATGCTATGGTTAGGGAACGTAACATTTTATTTGGTATATGAGCAAATACAGAAACCGTGAACACATTTAACTTTAAGTATTCGGATTAAAATTTTGCCAATCGTGTGTTTACTTGTATTTTTGTTAAAGAAGTAATAGATTGATAAGTAAAGAGGCCCTAAATCTTTCAGATTTCTCCATAGTGGACGTGGACGAAAACAGTATAACAGATGAGCAAGAAGGGCTACTTCTTTACAAGGGTGGAACAGTGTGTGACGATATGTTTAGTGACAATACTGCACATACTATCTGCCGAGAGATGGGATATCACGGGGCCTACTCGTGGCGGAGCGGGATGGTCTACGGTTCACAACAAATCGACAGAGAGGTATCATTAGACGATATTAAGTGCGACTCTAACGATTGGACCACTTGTACATCGAACAAGGTATCAGATTGTAAGCACGCTGAGGACGTCTTTATATCTTGTGAACTACGTGAGTATAAAATAGTGTTTTTGTTTTGAAAACACAACTCGTATCCGCTATGCATGACAGTAACATAATCACAAGAGATAACAAAAAATCTTATCAATCAATTTATAAACTTCCTTATGATTTAAATCATCATTTTAACTGATTTACTTATCCAAGTAACTTAACTTTAACTCATCTTACAGCTACTCTCAAAGACGGAGAGTGGAGTAGTTACGGAGATTGGTCTGCTTGTTCTGCTGTGTGTGGAGGAGGTACTCAAACTAAAACCAAGACCTGTACTAATCCTGAACCACGATATGGGGGACGGGACTGTGTCGGAGAAGATACTGAGAGTAAGGACTGTAATCCATATCCGTGCAATGGTGAGAACAATCGTTGCTTATAAGCTTATATTCTGAGTAAAACTCTTTAGTAATTATTAATTTCACATGACAGGTCATAAAAATTGGCCAAAACCTATTTTAAGGTATTACTTTCTATTTATCGGATTCAGGCATTTTCAGCTATCTATTTTTAACTTTTATGTGATTGAAATATGAATTTCCTTCTAGGTTTTGTTATTGTTGACATAGACGGGATCGTAACAGATGATAAGGAAGACGGACTACTTCTTTTCGGTGGTGGCACAATCTGTGATGATGATTTCAACTACAAATCAGCTAATGCTATTTGCAGAGAGTTAGGATTTGGGGCGGCTTCGTTGTGGAGGAGTGGTGTAAGTTGGGGGTCCGTTCAGACGGACAAGCCTATTAGTCTGAATAACGTGGTGTGTAGTGAGGATGGCCTCTGGTCTTCCTGCAGACATTCCGCCTCACATAACTGCGTTCATAATGAGGATGTCTTCTTGGAATGTCAAGGTTAGTCCTTACTCAAGTTATCATCCTTCAGTTTAAAAGTTTATTGATTAGCAGAGATAATAGAACTTTGCAGATTTCATGGAAAATGGTTTTGAAAACAAAGTTGAACCCACCGTAGAAACCCACCATGGAAACTTCAGCTTGATAGATATTTACAAATTTTATTTCAAAATTATAAAGGTAGAATTAAAGTTGTTTAAATGCTGATCTATATTTCACCAGATTTTGCTCTGATAAACGAATTCGGACACCCCATCATGACGCACCAAACAGAGGGAGTTTTGCTCCACAAAGATGGAACAGTCTGCAGTGACGGTTTCAGCGACATGTCCGCACATGCTATCTGCCGTAAGTTAGGCTACCATGCTGCTGCCTCCTGGAGAACGGGTCTGGTGTACGGATCACAGCAGAGTAGTCGGGATGTGTCCTTCAGTAAAGTTACCTGCAGTACAGATGATTGGTCATCTTGTTTTTCTAACTCTACAAGTGTGGATGAAGAGATCGGTCATGAGGAGGATGTTTTGCTTTCTTGTGAATACGGTATGTTACTACTAATAGTAATAACTAGGTATGTAACTACGGTATGATAAGGTATTAATGCTTTTCAAACAAACTATCATCACGTTACATTACATAATTCTCAATAAATGTAATAGATTTGTAGTGTTGTAATTTTGAGTATGTTACTAGTGATAACTTGACTTTATGCTTTCATGATTGAGTCTATTAACGAAAGATCAAAAATGCTTTTCCCTATGATTTATGAAAAATGTTGTCTTACCTTATAATTTTCCAGCTCCAGATTGTGTCGATTTTGATGGTAAAGGATACCAGGTGAGCTGTTATAAACTTACTAACACACGAGTGTTTGTGTTCCAAAGTTTGTTCGTTGGTGCTTCATTTTCAGTTCCCTATACTTACTTGTACTTGTACTTGATTAGGTCTCCTCGATCATTCGAGTGGCCTGCACCAATGAACTCCCGTGACCCGTTTGTGACGTATCATCTCCCTCCAAAGTTTGCGGTCACTAGCCATCTCGCTCGCTCCTTCTAGGTCTATGTCAGTGTTTCCTGTAAACGCTGCAGCATCTTCCAGCAAACATTTCCTCCAGTTCTTTCTTGGACGGCCCCTAGATCTTCTCCCATGGGCAGGGGTCCAGTTAAGCAGGTACTTAGGAAGCCTAGTGTCTGGCATTCTGGTGACATGGCCAAACCAACGCAGGCGGTTTGCTCCTATGTACGTCTCTACTGGATTTATCTTTGCACGCTCCAGCACTTCAGTGTTTCTAACCCGATCAAGCGATCTTATCCTAAGTATTCTCCTCAAGCAACGCTGATGGAACACCTCAAAGCGATGTAGCTGCTTTTTTGTTGTGTTCCAAACCTCACTACCATATAACAATATTGTCAAAACCGCTGCCTTATAAATCCTGATCTTTGTATAAGACTGGATGTTGCGGTTTTTCCATATATTACTCAGTTGATTGAAGGCTCCGGAAGCTTTCTGAATCCTAGCTGACAGCTCACGGTCGATAGTACCGTCGCTGGAAATAATTGTACCTAAGTACGTAAAGTCACTAACTTGCTGCACTGGCGTGTCTTCAACAGTGATGTTCACTGTGGCTTCTTTCGTGTATGGCCTTATAACATAAATTCCCTATAACATCTTGTAAATACATTTCTCAATAGTTAGCACTCAATACCTCGCTTAGGTCGGACAAGGATACCCAGACAACGTAAACCCTCAAAAAGTTTGCACGTGCAAGGAAGATGGCAGTTTTACGTGTGAATGTCCTGCGGACGACTTGGTGTGCAGTGGAGGATCTTCCAAATGGTCTGACGATGAAACTTGTGAATCTAAATGTGTCAAAGGTTTGCGAAATGTCTAAAAAGTTGAAAATTGTGAAAGCATTTGTTTTCGAATGAAAGAGTCGAGAATTTAGCGAAAATCAATATTTTCGAATTTATAACAACATTAACGAATGGATTAACGAAATGTTCATTTATCAGATCCAGGCTATTGTTACAGCGCTGGAGATCCTCACTATCTCACTTTTGATGGGAAATATTACGATTTTCATGGAGTTTGTACTTACCAAGCAGCAAGTTGTGGAGATTTCACGGTTTGATCATGTTTTCAATTCCTCTCTGATTTCACTTGACAGTTGGTAACGTAAGGACATGCTTATTTTATTAGTTTCGTCAATCTGTGATACTATTATTTTAGGTGCATCTCAAAAACGTGGATCTTCATGGAGGACCTCCAAGATATACGTATCGAATAGAGCTCAGATTTAAAGGACATGAATTTACCATTGGACCCCGATCAACTGCTACTGTCGACAGCAAAAGTGTAAGCGGTGTAATTTATATCCAACGAATCTCAATTAGTGTCACTCTGTCGCTCGATAACTTTCATCATCACTTATACTTCCATCATCTTTAGCATTGGCCCTTGATTGATCATATTCTGTGATCTGTTTCAGCAAAACTAATAAAATGTTTGAATTTTCTGATCTTAATCGGTTTCAAATTTTATTCTGCAGGTCCAAACGCCATACGTTCGCAAGTTTTCAAACGGAGATAAGGTGGAAATAATACATAATGGGCAGTTGGAAATCTTATTATACAGTAAAAATAGGAGTCCAGCTGTAAGATTACAGGCGGTCGATGCTAGCAGGTATGCAAATCGCAAAAGATCAAATACAGTGTTTAGTTAATTTAGTTAACAACTTAGTTATTAACATAAGTTGTGAGTTTTCTTCGAATTTGACGTTTAGTTTTAGTTTTTCAAAACTTTATTTGGGCCTGTTTCCATGGCCTGTTGGAAAATTACGGGATAAGTTGATTTTACGGTGATTCCTATTTTGTTCAACTATCTTGTGAGGCATTTATCTGAAAACCTTACAAATTTGAAGAACATCTATAAACTACTAATGATAAAATTCTAGTTACATTAACGCGAACATTTGGCTACACGGGTCGTGCGCTGGAATCACAGAAGGGCTCTGTGGTAACTGGAACGGTAACGCCGCAGACGATCTTATCAGAAATGATCCCAACTTCCACGGCGAAAAGTACAAAGAGTTTGACGAGCATTGTCAAGCACCTCCCCCACCTTACGATCCTTGTAAAGCTATCGGACCGGATGCTAGGGCACAAGCTGAAGATATCTGCAACAGTCTTACAGGTTGCTTTTTATAATATTCATGATCATTTTACGTTTGATCATTCAGTTTTTTCATTTCATTTCAATTAGGTTCGCACTTTGCAATCGTCAGCTTTTGGTTTAATTTTGTTTTAAAATCTTCGCAGTCAAACTTGTGTAATTTCAGTCGATGAAACGGCAGAAAAGCTTTTATTTAGAAATCTTCCAAAATGTCTCCTTCTTAATTTAATACAAAGCTCCACTTACAGAAAGTCCGTTTTCCGATTGCAATAACGTTGTTCCTGTTGGAGACACAAAGGAAGGTCTCTTCAACACTTGTATGACAGACGTATGCCAATGCTCACTTGATAAGGTAATAGGCGCTGAACTGAAGAAAATTAGAAAAATCATGATTTAAATCTCAATTGACCGCCTAAATTGTTAGTATACCATGGAACTGTGAATATGAAATGAAGTATTATACCCGGTTTTCATTACTTCATTACAGACGTGTGCTTGCCCGCAATTTGACGCATACGCACAAAGATGTATAGAAAGCGGAGTAGATCTAAATGACTGGAGGGAGGCGATTTTATTTTGTCGTAAGTCGATTTTTAAATCAAGATAACCGTTATAACCATAAATAAACGCGAACACTGCAAATTTTGCCCCAAAATAATAACCATTGTTGCTATTCTATTAAACGTCATTCTTAAACTAATTGTGCACTAGAGAAAATTACAAAATAAATTCTTCAGCATATGATTGCCCGGAGGGACAGTTGTATCGACCAAACGGCGCTGTTCCAGCTCCCACATGTTTAGAAAGGAGCCCAACTAAAACTGGGACCGTCAGAGGGTGCTTTTGTCCTGAGGGAAACTTTTTACAAGATGGTAAATGTGTCCGGGCTGACGATTGTAAATGTCTTCATGAGGGTACTTTCTATAACGTAAGTCTGACGTGCGGTTCATAACGTTCCTTTTCTGACGAGTGTAAATGTCTTCATGAGGGTACTTTCTATAACGTAAGTCTGACGTGCGGTTCATAACGTTCCTTTTCTGACGATTGTAAATGTCTTCATGAGGGTACTTTCTATAACGTAAGTCTGACGTGCGGTTCATAACGTTCCTTTTCTGACGATTGTAAATGTCTTCATGAGGGTACTTTCTATAACGTAAGTCTGACGTGCGGTTCATAACGTTCCTTTTCTGACGAGTGTAAATGTCTTCATGAGGGTACTTTCTATAACGTAAGTCTGACGTGCGGTTCATAACGTTCCTTTTCTGACGATTGTAAATGTCTTCATGAGGGTACTTTCTATAACGTAAGTCTGACGTGCGGTTCATAACGTTCCTTTTCTGACGATTGTAAATGTCTTCATGAGGGTACTTTCTATAACGTAAGTCTGACGTGCGGTTCATAACGTTCCTTTTCTGACGAGTGTAAATGTATTCATGAGGGTACTTTCTATAACGTAAGTCTGACGTGCGGTTCATAACGTTCCTTTTCTGACGATTGTAAATGTCTTCATGAGGGTACTTTCTATAACGTAAGTCTGACGTGCGGTTCATAACGTTCCTTTTCTGACGATTGTAAATGTCTTCATGAGGGTACTTTCTATAACGTAAGTCTGACGTGCGGTTCATAACGTTCCTTTTCTGACGATTGTAAATGTCTTCATGAGGGTACTTTCTATAACGTAAGTCTGACGTGCGGTTCATAACGTTCCTTTTCTGACGATTGTAAATGTCTTCATGAGGGTACTTTCTATAACGTAAGTCTGACGTGCGGTTCATAACGTTCCTTTTCTGACGATTGTAAATGTCTTCATGAGGGTACTTTCTATAACGTAAGTCTGACGTGCGGTTCATAACGTTCCTTTTCTGACGAGTGTAAATGTCTTCATGAGGGTACTTTCTATAACGTAAGTCTGACGTGCGGTTCATAACGTTCCTTTTCTGACGAGTGTAAATGTCTTCATGAGGGTACTTTCTATAACGTAAGTCTGACGTGCGGTTCATAACGTTCCTTTTCTGACGATTGTAAATGTCTTCATGAGGGTACTTTCTATAACGTAAGTCTGACGTGCGGTTCATAACGTTCCTTTTCTGACGATTGTAAATGTCTTCATGAGGGTACTTTCTATAACGTAAGTCTGACGTGCGGTTCATAACGTTCCTTTTCTGACGATTGTAAATGTCTTCATGAGGGTACTTTCTATAACGTAAGTCTGACGTGCGGTTCATAACGTTCCTTTTCTGACGATTGTAAATGTCTTCATGAGGGTACTTTCTATAACGTAAGTCTGACGTGCGGTTCATAACGTTCCTTTTCTGACGAGTGTAAATGTCTTCATGAGGGTACTTTCTATAACGTAAGTCTGACGTACGGTTCATAACGTTCCTTTTCTCAGAAATTTAAGTGTTTTTTATTTGAGAGAGGTGGATTTGAAGAAAACAATGCCCCCACACAAACAACTACTTTCAAACAGAACGGGCACGAGATACGAAGCGAGGGAGAGTGCAAAGTTTGTACTTGCGAGGATTCTGGTGAGATGACATGTGCTGATATGACTTGTCCAGAGCTTCACTGTGAAGATGATGAGCTGATTTCCTACAGAGAGGGTGTTTGCTGTCCCTATTGTTTGTCTGATTGGGTTGAGGTATGATAATTTATTTGCTTTTTTATTGAGAACATTCGTTTCTTTGCTTTTTTATTTAGGAAATTTGTCATTCACCATTAACCTTAATTCGTTCTTTCATATATAACAAATTTTGTTTGCTGACCAGACAGTTCGGATTTCAGTCTCATTTTGTTTCAGGCCATGAACCCGTCTATCCGGATTAAGGAGGGTCAGTCTGTGACCCTGACTTGTGCTGTTCATGTAAAAGATGTCGGAATGAAGAGCATTGTTTGGTATAAAGATGGAGACAGGGTGTTTGATAGTTACAAACTCTCTATTAACAGGTATATTCTGCACAAAATATACTGATAAAATGGTTTTATTTTACAAACGGACAATGGAAAATTTCCCATAATTTTTCAGTATCAGTTCACGGTTTTTCTCCTATTTTTACATATTATCCCCAGACTCACGCTAAAAATAGAAGACGCAGGAGCGAAAGACCGGGGAACATACACTTGCCAGGCTACCAAGGGTGGGGTAGCAGCTACAGGCGACTTTAGCGTCAGTGTACACATACCGGCTGTTTGTACTCACAAGGATGGAGCTAGTTTCTTACAAGGAGAAATATACAACCCAAACCAGGTTTATTCAGTATTATAAACTTATAAACAGAGCAGACAAATTTTTATATTGTAAAGTATTCCACTACGAACCAGAGGCACGAAACAATCTCATCTAAACGTTTATATGGCAGTCACATAGAAACTGGTTCTACACGAGCATATTTACTAAAAAATGTTGGGTAATAGAAGAGGCCCAGTATATCATTGTCAAGGAATGGTATAAAGGTTTTACTTAAAATACACTGCATTATCAATACATTATCAATACTTTCCCAGAACACACAATGTACATGTGATGCCCGAGGACGCCACTCTTGCTCATGCATCCTGGACCACCCTGCCAGTATCCAATGTTCCTTCCCCACAGCCGGGGTCTGGTATGACGAACACTGCAATAAGACTTGTGTACCAGTTCCTGGCACTTGTACCAGCGGCAATGATCCACATTACAGAACTTTTGATGGGAAATATTATGACTTCCACGGAAAGTGCACTTATCAGGCGGCCAGCTGTGATGATTTTAAGGTGAACAAATTAAGATTTTGATAATTTTTGAAAGTTCTAGATGTTGCAGGAATCAGCATTTTTGATGTATCTTAAAGAGTTTGCGTCTCAGGCAATTACAAATCTGTAACGGTTGTTATCTTTCAGGTTAAGTTGAAGAACAAAAATCTGGGAGGCAGTCCTACTTACACAGATAAGATGATTCTGGAGTTCAAAGGCCACTTATTTTCCGTCCACTCATCTGGTTACTCAGCACACGTTAATAATCGAAAGGTAATTTTCTATCATTTACAAAAGTTCTTTGGCTGATTTCCGATTTATTTATTAATTATTTATATATAAATTGTGCATGCTTGAAATTTTTCTGGAGTCAGTGAGTCAAAGAATGTCTTCAGTAATAACCATTGGCAAATTCGCTCACCGCAGTATTTCTATCCTCTTTTCAGGTTTCAGTCCCATATGACAAAAAGTTCGAAAATGGTGATCGTGTCGCTATCAGGAACAAGTAAATGTGGATAATTACAAATAATTAATTATTCATGTATGATGAAGGAATTATTTAGTTGAAGGGGGCTGAATACTAGCAATGTTAATTCATGTCTATTCGAGCTTTCATCTAGAATTGAAACAAATTCTTTATATTATGGAGCTGCAGGATTAACAACATGTCATTTCAGTGGTCAACTAGTAATCACGTTATATAGCCAAGGTAGAGACCCCTCTGCAGAATTAACAGCTCGATCCATGAGTGGCGGAAGGTATCAATGATACTTCGTTTATTTTCATTTTACACTCACTATTTATTTCCAATTTGACAAACAAGTAACAATAAAATGTTCACTATAATGAAGCTGTAACTACTTTATTCACAGGTGGATAAACGTAGCAATAAAACTACATGGATCATGCGCCAGTGTCACTGAGGGTTTGTGCGGAGTTTGGAACGGTAATGTTGCTGACGATTTGTTTAAAGACTCTCCTAACGATAACGCAGAGAAGTTTAAAGATTATGACGAATCTTGTCCTCCTCCTCCGGCCCCCTATGACCCTTGTGATAATATCGGCCCTCTGAGAAAAGCTAAGGCGCTGGCGATCTGCCAAAAACTAACTGGTAGATAAAAATATAAATATTATAAATAAATATTAAACATTAGGTCATTCAAATTAATTTAACACTGTTTTTCAAGGCTTATTTCCTTAAGATATCTTAACTTTCTCGTTAAGAAATCATAAATTTTTCTTTGTACATTTTACAAGACCTAATGATATTTGAATTACCATCACTTCTCCCTCAGAGCCCCCTTTTTCGGCGTGCAACAACGTTGTGCCAGTGGGAGACACAAATGGCGGCTTTATAAACACTTGCATGACTGAGATCTGCCAGTGTCACTTAGATAAGGTAATAAAAAATCAAAATAATGTGCAACTTGTTATAAGTTTCTCCGAATGTTAAACATTCAATTTTTTATTAAGACGGATCAAAAACAACAGTATTTTCATTGATGTTTTTAAAAAAGCATAAATTCAGGTGTAGCTAGCTGAATAAAAATTTCAGAAAATTGCAAAAGAATGAGGACATTTTGTGCTACTTTTTCACGTAAATTAATTTTAAAGCATTATAGAATGATTGTGACGATGAACCGAGAATCTCTTTCAGTCATGCGCGTGTCCTGAATTTGATATGTACGCTGAAGAATGTATTAACAGTGGGGTAGATCTCAGTTACTGGAGAGATTCGGTCGACTTCTGTCGTGAGTGTGTTGTACTTTCTATCATCGAATTAGCGTTGAAATCTTTAGAACTCGCTGTATTTTTAATTTTATAACTAAACAGTTGATCGAGGATTAGGAGTGCAATGGGTTTTCCATGAAGCCTTTTTAATACACATGAAAATTACTTTCAATATGCTTTCAAATTCAAAAGTAGGATGTAAAAGGACACACTTCCGATCGGGAAGTACAAACAGTCTAAACCCACAAATATAATAGCAAATATATTCCTCTTCCAGCCTACACGTGTCCAAAAGGTGAAGTTTACTTGGCTGAAGGACCAGTCCCTACACCGACCTGCTTAGACAAGAACCCCTCTAAAACTGGGACCGCCCGGGGCTGCTTCTGCCCTCAGGGCCACTTCTTGCAGGATGACCAGTGCGTTGAAGCTGATCAATGCAAGTGTCTTCACGAAGGCATCTTCTACAATGTAAGCACAGTTACCTACAAGGGTCATTACTCGTATTGTTGTAACTCTCATAGTTTTTCAGCATGATTGCCATGTTATAATTAATATCAATACATTTTGTTAGAAATTATATGAATAAAACATTTTGGAGTGATGATATAATCTCCGTTCACTCAAACCAGCCTATCCTAAATATCTAAATGCAACTAACTGTCATCTCCAGAACGGAGATGAAATAAGAGACGAGGGTGACTGCCAAGTGTGCACTTGCGGGGATGCTGGAATAATGTCCTGCCTCGAGATGACATGTCCAGAACTTAACTGCGACGGAGATGAGCTGATTTCTTACAAGGATGATGAGTGCTGTCCTTACTGCCAGCGTGATTGGGTTGAGGTAACTACAGGATCGAACATAAATTAATGAATGAAGGTTTTTTAAACAGGTATCTAGCAAGCCGTGTCCTGCATGAAAGATTATAAGTGCTTAAGTGGTTCATATTTACCATAACGACACCGACATCATGAGGATAAAAAACTTATCAAGGAAGCATAAACATGAAAGAGTCCAAGATACCCTAAAATGGCATAATTTTCAGGCAGTGAATCCTAAAACTGATCTGAAAGAAGGACAGTCGGTGGTTCTTACTTGCTTGATACACGCAGCTAACGTAGACAGGAAGAAAATAAACTGGTATAAAGATGGAAAAAGACTGCGGGAGGACATCTCACGGGATAGGTTATCATTTGATTTACTTTCTCTTTCGCTATCTTTTTTCTTTCTCTTTTTCTTTTTCTTTCTCATAGCTTCTGGCATTTCCCGATAGTGAAAAATGTCGAAATAAAATATTCAGCAGTGTTTCAGGGCATAGACAATATGCACTTCATTTCACAGGCTAAAACTGAGTATAAAGGATGCTGATTCCTCTGATAGTGCGCAGTACGAGTGTGAGGCTACTAAGAATGGCAAAACTGCCTCAAGCTGGTTCGTTGTTGATGTTCATGTCCCGATATTGGAGGCACTCACTCTCGTGAAAGGTAATTTCCCGAAAAATGTACCTTAAATCTTTGTCGTTTTACTGTTAATGTCATGAGGGTCACACTCACACGGCTGTCCTTCGCTTCCCCAATAATTTTATCCAACTTCTAGAGTTTATATCGTTAAACACCCTTTCATTGCAGACCCGTGCGAAGATAAAAACAAATGGTGTAGAATTTGGGCTCACAAGGGGTTCTGCAACCTGCCTTACTGCATGAGATTCTGCAAATCATCTTGCTCCCTCTGCGACACGAACTAAGCTTGAAGAGCAATCATTGGAAATTGTCGAAAGACATCCTGAAGGTAATTTACAGGACTTATTAGCGGTTGTCTGAAGACTAAATTAAATATAACTGGACTTGTAACTAGTTAGCCAGTGTTTTTTCTTCTAGAATTAGATTAATGATGAATTTCAATTTCGTTATAACAGTGAAACTTCGAATCCTGGACCAAAAAAAACGTTAAAAAGGTCATTTTCGGATGTTAAAAAGGTCCGGAATTTAAAAGGTCCGAATAAGTTGGTCCGAAAGATAGTAATTTAGGGAGTAAGGTGATCCGAGTAACTTAAATTAGAATTAAAAAAACACACGTGAAGGTCCAGAAATTGACGTTTGACTGTATGATTGTATGAAGCTGATACCTAATTAAACATAATGTCTAAATTGACTCATTACTGACACATTTACTGACACATGTAAATTTGTAATGATCTTTCTAATTTTAATTTCTAATTTCTAATTTCTAATCTCTAATTTTCTAATTTCTAATTTCTAATTTCTAATTTCTGAGAGAAATTACGTCCGTTAGTATTTGGTATTGAAAATATTTTACTTTGAATCCAATTATGATAACTGATAGACAAATAAACGTTGTTTATTTTTTGTAGAAAGTATACTGTTATTAATAAATAAATAAAATGTCTTTTATCATTTGACTTGGTCATGGTTTCTGAATTAAGTTTAATTTTGATTCAGCACGCAAAATACTCAATTTATTCCAATGTCAATCATATCGTGTCGCAATATTTTCTTTGGTGGTCGCTTACTTGGCAATATTTTGTTGAATTCTGTAAGTGAAATTCGTAACTTAAATTGTAGCAACATTTGGCAAACAAACAAATTTTAATATGAGGCTGTAAATTTGATCGCATGACGAAAAGCAAAATGTTTTTCAGCGAATCAGGCCTATTTGCCCGTCCATTAACGTATTACCATTTAATGGTGAAACCAGCGGTGAAACGACCACCCCCACGATGATAACAGGTAGTTGAACCGTATAAGGTGACCACCCCGCTAACTCCGACTCGCTTGCTAACTCTCTCCCTCACTCTGCCGCACGGAAGAAGGGGTAATTCAAGCTCCAAAACCCCAGACGACCACGAGTCTGTCACGTGATGTGATCGCAGGGTGCTTGTAGCTCCCTACTTCCAGGAGCGTGTAGACCTCCTCCGTCTGGCTACACGCTTCTCTCCGCCAATCACCAACCCGGATATTTGCACGTGGGCCGATCTGGCCAATGAGAGAGGAGAAGTAGCGCGTGACTAGAGGGCCCGCAGACAAGCTGAAATTGGCACGTGGTTTGACCAGGTAACACGTGGTGTTGAGCAGCAGACTGACTCAAGGTAGTGTAGGTTCCTGAAACACTCAGCTCTTTGCATTACTGTCTAGACCTGGTTTAACCACGGGGCCAAAACAAAGCCTCCCATTGGTCAATAGCGCCCACGTGGCGATAAACCTGTCTTCTGATTGGCTAATATCGCATTGTCTGCTCGAACGGGAAACGCTCGACAATTGACATCCGAGATACCTTCCGCATGGCTGGTGCTGGACCGCGTTTATCGGCCAATCAGTGAACATCATTGTGCTCCAGTGACTCAGGGCAGCCAATAACAGCCAGGAGCTTCCAGGGGGAACTCTCGGGCTTCAAAACCCTGGTCAGTCGTTGTTTACTTGCTTCGAATTTTTATGTTTCTCCTCACCTGCCCGATTTAGTAGTGTCCTCACAGTGCCTGAAATATTAAATATTTATGTGAAGATAAATTTGCCAGACTTTCAGGCTCGATGTTTATACTGTAAAAGCACCTTTGTCATTGACAGTGGTTTTCCGTTGTATAGAATAAGAAAGTTATGGTTTATCAACATTATTTACATGATTGCCAAATTTGAGTTTGTTGTTCGGTATAAATAATTCAGATCATCCCATTCAATTATTTAGATAAGTTATATGTTCGTAGGACTGATTGAAATGCACCAAAATTCGTTTACATCTAAAATTCTTTTAGATTAACAAGTATTTATTATCAATTAACGCAACACTAGAAAGTTAAAACTACAAATAATGAAATAAACCAACAGTGGTCATTTGAATTTTGATAGCCATCGCTTTAAATTAAAATAAATATAACTTTAAAGTTGGCAATAGTAATACCTTAGTTCATTTAAAAAAATACATATTATATAATCGGCAAGCTTCTTATTATTCGTTCACCAAGATGTAACCCAACTCAACAATTGTTCATTTTAAAACTTCTTACAAAACCATGAACGTTTTGTGACTGTATACAGGGAATTTGTAACTTAGCTCTCGATCATGAAACCACGACATGTATGCAGACCAGGACATGTATGCAGACGTTACCGTATTCCTTATAATTATAAAGATTATTTATACAGTTTTTGCCATTAAGATGTAATTCTATTTGTGGTGACATTTTCGAGTCAATGGAAGCTCCGGCTCCTAATACATGTAGTAATACATGTAGTAATACATGTAGTAATACATGTAGTAATACATACCATTATATCACAATAAAAGTAGTTGAAAGTCGACTCCAATGTGAGTATAGGCAGAATGAGAATATACTGACCAACCAATGACTACCACGATCGTAGACCTAATATTTGGGCCGTATAAGTTAAAGTATTAACCAAATCGGTTATGATTTACGATCTTTTATAGTGACTTTAAATCATTAAATGATTAAGTTATAAGTTATTATTTATTTCATTGCAGATGTTATAATCTCATATAAGTATTATAACTCGAACGTTATGACATTACAGCAAACTTCGCGCACTTGTAGTTAATTTACTCCCTCCTTTGAGGAACGGGATTTAAAGATATGTCAGAATCCTTCGAACGGCTTTGAAGCTGCAGTCATTAAACCGAAAATCCATATCGTAATGCTTTGCAATTTGCTTGGAAAATAGAGCATTATGTCATGATCAACCATTAGAAATAAATCTAATTCTATTGAGAAGCTGTTCATTTTGTGACGAGGTGCCACGTATCGGTAATTTGTTAAAGTGGAGCAGTTTGCAAATTTTTCAGTTGTTAGATTTAACTATTTAAGTTAGCTGCTATCATGGACATGCAATAAACAGCGCTGATTTTTACTTCGTTGTAATTTTTAAGCAACCTAGATATCTCGTATAATAATGAAGTGAGGGGAACTAGAAAGGTAGTACTGAAGTGAGGGGTACTAGAGGGGCATGGTCCCTGCAGAGGTAGTAATGAAGTGAGGGGAACTAGAAAGGTAGTACTGAAGTGAGGGGTACTAGAGTGGCATAGTCTCTGCAGAGTTAATACTGAAGTGAGGGGTACTAGAGTGGCATGGTCTCTGCAGAGTTAATACTGAAGTGAGGGGTACTAGAGTGGCATGGTCTCTGCAGAGGTAGTACTGAAGTGAGGGGTACTAGAGGGGCATGGTCTCTGCAGAGGTAGTACTGAAGTGAGGGGTACTAGAGGGGCATGGTCTCTGCAGAGGTAGTACTGAAGTGAGGGGTACTAGAGGGGCATGGTCTCTGCAGAGGTAATACTGAAGTGAGGGGTACTAGAGGGGCATGGTCTCTGTAGAGGTAGTACTGAAGTGAGGGGTATTAGAGGGGCATCGTCTCTACAGAGGTAGTACTGAAGTGAGGGGTCTGTGGTTCCAGAGGGGTACTGGAGTCTGGAGAGGTATTACTGAAGTGAGGGGTACTAGAGGGGCATGGTCTCTACAGAGGTAGTACTGAAGTGAGGGGTACTAGAGTGGCATGGTCTCTACAGAGGTAGTACTGAAGTGAGGGGTACTAGAGGGGCATAGTCTCTACAGAGGTAGTACTGAAGTGAGGGGTACTAGAGGGGCATGGTCTCTGGAGAGGTAGTACTGAAGTGAGGGGTACTAGAGGGGCATAGTCTCTGCAGAGTTAATACTGAAGTGAGGGGTACTAGAGGGGCATGGTCTCTGCAGAGGTAGTACTGAAGTGAGGGGTACTAGAGGGGCATGGTCTCTGCAGAGGTAGTACTGAAGTGAGGGGTACTAGAGTGGCATGGTCTCTGCAGAGGTAGTACTGAAGTGAGGGGTATTAGAGGGGCATGGTCTCTGCAGAGGTATTACTGAAGTGAGGGGTACTAGAGTGGCATGGTCTCTGCAGAGGTATTACTGAAGTGAGGGGTACTAGAGTGGCATGGTCTCTGCAGAGGTAGTACTGAAGTGAGGGGTACTAGAGGGGCATGGTCTCTGCAGAGGTATTACTGAAGTGAGGGGTACTATAGAAGGGCACCATGGTCTCTGCAGAGGTAGTACTGAAGTGAGGGGTACTAGAGTGGCATGGTCTCTGCAGAGGTAGTACTGAAGTGAGGGGTACTAGAGGGGCATGGTCTCTGCAGAGGTAGTACTGAAGTGAGGGGTACTAGAGTGGCATGGTCTCTGCAGAGGTAGTACTGAAGTGAGGGGTATTAGAGGGGCATGGTCTCTGCAGAGGTATTACTGAAGTGAGGGGTACTAGAGTGGCATGGTCTCTGCAGAGGTATTACTGAAGTGAGGGGTACTAGAGTGGCATGGTCTCTGCAGAGGTAGTACTGAAGTGAGGGGTACTAGAGGGGCATGGTCTCTGCAGAGGTATTACTGAAGTGAGGGGTACTATAGAAGGGCACCATGGTCTCTGCAGAGGTAGTACTGAAGTGTCAAATGGCACGGACCGTGAATTTGGCTCGTGTCTGTAACAAAGTAACAAGTTCCATGAGGATCTGCAGAGTGTGGAGCTATCACCTCCCTCCCTCCCTGTATTGCAACCATTGTTACCTCACTACGGTCGGGCGGGGTCCCGGAGGGTCCCTTAAGTCTGCAAATCAAATTATTTCCCTCATGACAGGGGCCGCAGTGCAATTGGTTGAGGAAATTGCTGTCTAACTTCAATACTCTGTTTATTCCGTGACATATGACACAGAATTTCAGGATATTGCCGATCTGTCCATATGTAATCCTCAAAGGCAATTCAACAGTCGTTGTGACGGAATTTAGTCGCCTCTTAAGATG